TGCCATTAGAGCTGTTAATGGGTGTATTTGAGGATTTTAATAAGGTATTAGTAAATGTCAAACAAGAATTGGTGTTGAAAAGATCCAAAAATGATTTGAATTGTATATTAACAACCGCTAGTCCTCCAGCCAGTGGCACTGCTGATATGATTCCCAAAATTACACTTAACTCAATTCAATGGGTGATGCCACATGTGACACCATCAGATGGGGAGAAGTTACAATTACAAAAGATGTTATTGCAAAATAAAAATTTGCAAATTGCATTTAGAAGTTTAGAGTTGCATGAACTTCCATCATATCCCAATACTACAAGACATACATGGTCAGTAAAGACATCTTCAAGTTTGGAGAAGCCTAGGTATATTATATTTGGTTTTCAAACAGCTAGGGATAATAGTGCACGAAAAAGAACTGATGAATTTGATCACTGTAAGTTAAAAAATCTCAAAGTATTTCTAAACTCTGAATATTATCCTTATAGTGATTTAAATCTCGATTTTGAAAATGGAGATGTCTCTAAAGCTTATGAGATGTTTATGAGGTTTAGAGAGACTTACTACAATACTATCCCAGATCCTATGATTAGTAGGGCTGAGTTTATGAAGAAATATCCACTAATTGTAATAGATTGTTCTAGGCAGAACGAAACAGTGAAGGAAGGAATTGTTGATATTAAATTAGAGATTGAAACTGCAGAAAATGTACCAGCAAATACATCTGCATATTGTTTGATAATACATGATAAAGTGTTTGAGTACAATCCTTTGTCAAATGAGATAAATAAAATTTAAATAAAAGATGAAAAACATTCAACAAGAATTGGTTGACTCTGCAAATCAAATACGAGAGAAATATAGAGCTTTAAAACGTGGCAAGTTTCTAGAGGCTGAAGAGAGGTTCCAAACATTCCAACCTTTAATAGAGCCATTACAAGAATTAAAAAAAATCGCCAAAACAGAGAGGCCTCGAATGGAGATACTCCCAATGACTCCATCTAGAATATCAATGATACCAAGGTTACAACAATCCACCCCACAGAAATTAGATTTTGGTCTTTTAGCATCAGACTATTTAGGAAATTACCTCAGTAAAAGTAGTATGACAGACACTACATATGGTATTAGACGAGAAGCAAATAAATTTTTTATTGGAAATAAGGAAGTTGATATTGCCAATGATGATGTTACAGTTGCAAATAAAACTTACAAGGGGACAAAAGGCTTGTGGCAATTGTTAACTTTAAAAGAACCTGAGGATTATACTCCGGCTGATTTGCAAAATTATAAAGAAATTTTGGAAGCTACAAATGGGCATTTAAAGAGTTACAAAGATGGTGCACCAATTTCAAGTAATAGACATACTAAATATCTTAATATAATTAAACCTCTATTTAAATCTGTTGGTGAAGGTTTGAGACAAGTGACTGGTAATAAAATAGACTATATTTATTGGGATGATCCTAATGAGCTTGTAGATAGGTTAAGACTTCTTTGGCTAAGTCGCCAAGCCGGTAACTCAGGAGTGGATAATGAAATAGATTCCATTATTGAGGAATTGAGAGAAAGTGGTATTATTTATTAAATAAAAATATGTTTATAGATAAATTTTATTGTTTATATAATCCATATAATAAGCCTGCAGAACCCAGGGCTAGTCATGAACCTACTTTAAATTTAAAAGACAATAGTTGGAATTGTTTAAACCGTAAAATTGGTAATGTTAAAGATGGGGAGATTGTAGATGATGTATCAACTTTGGGACAGACATTAACTAGAAAAGGTGATGTCTTTTTACAAGGTAAAACTAAATATGAGTTTTTAGAATCTAAGAATAAAAATTGGAATGCTAAAAAACAGAAAATTACTAATGTGAAAAAGGGTGAAAGTTTAGATGATGTGCCCACTTTACAACAGACTTTAATACGTAAAGACGGTGGTACATTTGTACAAGACAATAATAATTATGAATTTTTAGAATCAGAGAATGGTGTTTGGAATGCTAAGAAACGGAAAATTACTAATGTGGAAAAGGGTGAAAGTTTAAATGATGTGCCCACTTTACAACAGACTTTAATACGAAAAGAAGATGGTAAATTTATACAAGATGATAATAATTATGAATTTTTAGAATCTGAGAATGGTGTTTGGAATGCTAAGAAACAGAAACTTAGCAATTTGATGGAAGGTACAGATAGTAAAGATGCTGTGAATGTTTCACAAGTTCCAAAAATGGAAGCAGGCTATTGGGATTTTAATAATAAAAGGTTAGTACGTGTAAAACCCGCCGTTGATGACACTGACTGTGTTACAAAAGAACAGACTATAACTTTTGATAAAAAAGAAAAATGTTGGGATGCCAAAAAACAATTTATAAGGAATCTGCCAAAGGGGGAATATTTAGATGATATTTGTTTAATGTCACAAGCTATGTATTATGATGGATCAAAATTTGTATATGCAGGAAGAAAATTTAATTTGATGGAATACAATCCTGATTTATTAGTTGCCGACCCTACATCTTTGAGTGGATTTAAGTATATAGATAATAGACCTTATATACCAGAAAACTATGTATTTAAAAGAATGGAAGATAATCTATTGATTGGGGCTAATGGTAATATATTTACAGTACAAGGAAAGAGTGATGTTATAAAAAATGAATGAAATTGCATACGAACTTCATAAGCCTGCAAGAAAGAATTTCATTAGAAGGTCTTTTAAAGTATTAGGTATAAATGAAACCTTACAAATAGATTTAATTGATATGCAAAACTATGCTAGAGAAAATTCTGGCAATAAATATATTTTAACTTTAATAGATACATTTTCTAAAAAAGCTTATGCTGCTCCGTTAAAGAATAAGACAGGGTTGGTGGTTACAGAAGCCATTAAAACCATTCTACCAAAGGGGGTTAAAAACATTCAATCTGACAATGGAAAAGAATTTTTTAATCAATATTTTAGCAAACTAATGAAAAACTTAAATATTAATCACTATCACACATTTTCTACAACTAAGGCTGCAATTGTGGAGAGGTTTCAGAGAACTTTAAAGAATTGGTTATATAGGGAATTTAGTGCTCAGGGGAGTTATAAATGGTTGGATTTACTTCCAAAGTTAATTCGAAAATATAATAATAAGGTGCATAGATCTATAGGAATGAAGCCTAACCAAGTGAATATTAAGAATAGTAAATATGTGCATGAGAGGTTGACTTCTAAAGTAGTGCAAGTTAAGAAGCCAAGATATAAGGTGGGTGATAGCGTGAGAATTTCCAAGTATAAACATGTTTTTAGTAAAGGTTATACCCCAAATTGGACAGGTGAGCTATTTACAATAGCAGAAGTTAAAAATACAAAGCCTGTGACTTATATCTTGAAAGATGAAAATGGCAATATAATCAGGGGAGGCTTCTATACAGAGGAGTTGTTAAAGACCAAATATAAAGACATGTATTTAATAGAAAAGGTAATTAGGAGGAAGGGTGATTTATTGTATGTCAAATGGCTTGGGTTCCCAAGTAGTCAGAATTCATGGATTTCCACTAAGGATGTCCAAGGGAGCACGCTGTGAGCTGGGAGCACGTGCAAACCTCGCACTGTCAAGTTGATGATTTTGAGAATATACATGTGAATGCATGTGGATTTGAAATAGTAATGAAGTTGTACAATGGTATTGAACATTTATATTGGGGTGTACAGGCGAAGATCAGGATTTTTGGATTTGGTGGCTAAAAAATGATCCCCATAAGAATAACATGGGAAAAACGTGCCTAAAGTGGGGTCATACCGGTAGTTCACCACTACTCTATTTTTATAGTGCAAAAATTTACCAATATAAAAAATAGGATTTACGACTAATTGAACTACTAACAAAATTAAGTTAGGCCTATGTAAAAAAAAATTTAAGGCAAGTTTTTTATTTATTTCAATATTATTTTATCAGTTCAAATGTGGTAAAGAAATGTGTACTACAGTACGGTCCACGAGAGTCTGCAGTTGAGGTAGAAGCCTATTTACCATGTGACTTTGAAGGAGCCAATGAGGACAGTGCGGTGTTGCCAAATTTAATAATACCAGCTGATTTGAAAATATTGTTTAGTATATTTTAATTAGTGTCGAGAATTAGTGAATGGGCAATGTTGCAACGTCAACGTCGTGCTAGTCCAGTCTTGCTACTGGCTGCCGCCAACTGCATACTCTCGTTTTCCCTAGTATAAGAGGACATCAGCGTAGGTAGGCTTGAAGTTGGAAAGAAACAATGCTGTATCAAATTTTAACACGGTAGGTGTGGTTACGTGATGGCTGGCCGTGGCCGGTGGCTATGTGCTGCATGGTTGAGTGCGCAAAAACGCTTAAATTTAGTTACATCCAAATGATAGGCATATTATTGCATGTACTGTCAATATGGACGTAGTTCAACAAGAACCCAACAGATAGCAGCACTAAAAAAAACTGCTAGCAGACCCTCAGTATTGCCAAATTAAGGGAAAAAGCAGGGGGGGGAAACCCCGGAAAACGCCATAAAAAAGTGACGCAATAAAGGCATCAAGCAATATAGGTTGGCATCCTTCCACACTACAGTACAGTAATTATCATTATTCTATTCAATTTCTCTAAACCCAAGACAAAACCCTACACTGCAATAAATTTGGAACAGTACCCACTGATGAAATTGTCGGATCTGAAAATGTTCCCTGTGCAAGGCTGAGCTCATACTGGACAATACTTTAGAGTTATGAATGCTAGGTGGTTTAACGTCAGCCGCGCGTGCCAGTCCTGCAATGAGTAGGCCACACTCAACATGTTAAAACATCATCTAGGCCTATGCCCTGATTCAATCATACAACGGTTGATAAGAAAAATGTTAAACAGCAAATAAACAATTGACTAATCAATTATATTTTGATTGTCATGATTAGGCTACATACCACAACAAAACACAATTGCGAGCTTAGTCCAAACTGTATGAAAAATGATTAATCTTAAAAATATTACCTTTTTTGGTTTACTCAGGAGCCGATTTGTGGATGGTCGGTGCCAATCTTTGATGCCGCCCTCTACAGCCTTTTCCGTTGCTTCCAATGACAGCTTAAAAAAAAAAGTTTTAATCAACACAAACTCGGATGAAAAAACCCATTAACTATTTACTATAGAGATATGTGCACTTTGTTGATGTGCGGTAATGAGAGAAACACAAAATTGTGCATGATGACATTTTAAAAATTTAAAATTTTTTAGTTTAAATATTTAAAAAGTAGACCTAAGGTTTCTTAATAAATTAGCAACATAATGAAGTAAATCCTGATTATAGGATGTATATTTTTCTCTATTTATTCTCGATCAAGACTACCTCAGATACCAGGAATCAATTTCCATCGTAAAACAGTTAGTTATTTCACTTTATACTGAGAGGATATCAGTAGAATTTTGCTCAATATTCTAGCCAAATTTAACAAAATATTCTATCAACACGAAGCTGTGGCTAAGTATAGGCCTATATATTTATTACTATGCTAATTACTGTATCTAAAACATTTAAGCTGTACCAGCAACAAATGAAACTAAAATGATGATGCCTTGCTAGCAAAAGATCAATTTAAACTTTGGTTTAGGAGCTTAATCAGGAGGTTAATCACAGGTTCAACTTCTGTTAAGCCCACTAGGGTTGGAGAGCAACTTGTAATAAGAAAAAAATTAAAAAAAAATAAGAACTGAATATTATTTATAATAAATTTTATAAAATTTTGTTTCTGGAAAAATGTCTATGTACATGATAGATTGATAGAAACATACTTGATATTGCCATTCTCAATTTGAGTCTTGAAAAGACCCTCTTTCCTTTTTGGCCAGCCCAACTATAGAAACCCCCTATAAAAAAAAATTTGCTGGAAATTTTGCAGGCTACCTCATCGGTAATGGAGACGCAGCAGTCAGCAGCATTGGCTCCTCCAACTCTTACCAGATAATTTATCTGTAGAAAAAACAAAAATAAAGTCATGATCTTACTAATATTATAAATGTGAAAGTTTTTGTGTTTGAAGTTCAATCACTCGTAAACCAGTGGACAGATTGGGCTGAAATTTAGCATGATGATAGCTTACATTCCCGATTAACATATAGGCATATTCTTATCTCAAAAATCCTTTCGGGCTCCGCCCCAGTGGCTCTGTAATTCCCCATGTTAACCTTGTGAGTATTCATATTTAAAGGGAATTAAAGAATTTAGTCAGCTGTTTCAACTAAAAAAGTTGGTTCTATGATATGGAAAAGTACTAAAAAGTTATAAGATTTACCAACAGAGTGCAGCACTATATTTTTTTTGCATTTATGAAAACAGCTAATTTTAACCAAGCAGCAACAAAAAACTGTGATTCGCAATGAGAACTGTCAAAGTAGGATTGTTTACAGTTATGTTTATGTTTTTCATTTCATGAATAATTTGTTATATTTTGCGAATTGTTTAATAATTTATTTTTCTCTATTGTTTAGGTGAAATGGTAGAACATTATGGCTATGGTAGATGTGTAATACTATAGAATACTGTAAATTTAAAAAAGCAAATTTGATCAAACCTTGTCCTTCCTTATTGCAAACGCAAAGCTTGAGTATGACTGCAATAAGCATTATATACTCATATTCCAACCCCGTACGAAGGACGGGTACTCTGCTAGTAGATTCATATTTTTTGCAAAACCCAATAAAGAAAATTAACAACAACAACTGTCTGCTGATGGGAAATTAGGATATGTAGGTACTGAGCTTGAAAAACAAAACACTGAGAAGTCAGTAACGTTAGGGGATTTAAATAAAATCATTAGGTACAATATAATAAAACAGGCTATCCAGATTAATGTTGAGAAACTCCTAATAGTGCATGAGCGAATAAGCTAGTATCATAAAGCAAATGTTATCATTATGGCCAGCAGCATTAAAAAAAAGTTCATCTATTGGCGCTTATCAATTACGATCATCAACAAAATACTATTGATTCTTCAACATCAATTCATAAATTAAATACAGTATACTAAACAATTCTAGTCCCAGATATTTAATGTAGCTCTTGCATGAAATATTTGTTTTTACTTTTAATCCAAATATATAAAGCTTAATTACTTAACAACAAAGAGTAGTAATTAATCTGTTATTAGAAGATTGTTGGAACCGATAAGGTATACAGAAATTAGTAATTCTTTCCAGCAAAATAATCAAAATCTAATGAGAGAGCTAATCAAGTTTAAGCTAAACATTGAAAAAGAATTTGAAATACTTACCATTTCAGTTTCTTATTTTTGTCAGCCAGTTCCTCTTCAAGTTCATTTAACTCTTCAAGAGTTTTACAGGGCAAGTGATTAACAAATTCTGACACTTTTTGTGTCAGCTGGACTTCTGTAATCAATCTAGCTTGTTCAACATTTGCAATTTTTTCTTGGAGTTTGCTTAGGTCTCCCCTAATAGTCAATAGCATCTCTTTGATAAAATTTTGGTTTCTAATGCATATAGTTTCAAATGCTGAAAAAAACAAGAGGTTTAATTTTTAAAATAAAAACCATTCAGATTTGGAGGTTTTGATTTTGCTATATTAACAATACAATTAAGTTTTAAGTACAAGGAATCTGCATGTTTGTGTTTGGATCCAGAATAATCTATATTCAGCAAATTGATTGACTGTTGAACAACGCATCATGTAATAGTCATAGTTTGTAATTTGAGCTAAAGAAATATGAGGCTACCCTTTTGATTTGAAATGCTTATTTTTCAAGAAAAACAAAACCACTGTTCTTGCATTAAAAAAAGGCAAAGGTAACAACAGTTTGATAATTAAATATTCTAGTTCTTGCCAATGGGAAATACGTCAATAAATTAAACCAGACAATATAGAAGATTAAATGATAAATAAGATGAACATAGTTTTAGAGATAGAGATATAAAAGCATATTTGTACATAGGCCTAAGTGGAATTTACAACCTTAATAGCAGTAATTCAAATAATATTAAGCACCAGTAAACTTAATCTTCTGTTTTACATAATCTATAGTTAGAAGGTTGCATCTAACATGGGCTGCTTTTAACCTCATTTTACGTCTTCTCAGTTTGAGCCCAAAGACATTTTTTGGCTTTCTTTGATGAGGGTTCATCGTCATGAGATACACTCGAATTGAGGGAAGACTCAGATGAGGAAGGTGATAAGTTAAAAAATACTTCTTGTTTGGCTTTGCTTTTCTTTTTAAGTTGTCATCAGTGTCTATATCTGACCTTGTAAAGGGCAACATTGGCCCTCTGTCAACTTCTGTACATTGTCTGAAAAATAGGCTAAATTAAGTGGGTGTGGTTAGCTCAGTTGATAATTATTCCCGCCTAGCCGGCAGCATAGTTACGCTTTATAGTAAAGGATACAACATAGATCTATGTAGTAGATAGATCTATGAAGATCTGCAGGTTGGCTGTGGTGGGGGTATTTTGCCTATTCCATGAAATGCAGAGACGGTAATGCAACCTTTTATTGCAAGGGAAGTGAATAGGTTGCTGCAGATCTCTGGAGGGAATTGAGAACACAAAACACTGAATGATTTTTTTTTATTTTAGGTTTTAACGGCCGCCATTTGGAAATGACTTGATGAAACTTGACCATTTTCAACCCAGGTTGAGATAATGTATTCAAGCACTTGTGTGCCAAATTTCATGAAAATCGGTTCAGGCATTCGGTCGTTATAGCTAATTCATGGGGACCCAGCATCCTCTTACGGCCGCCATTTTGATGACGTCATTACGGACGACCGAGGTCCTTAAAAATTGGGGTCTGGGCGGTTTTAGGTTCAGAAACTTGTATATTATAACCACCTAAAATTGCAGCCTCTCCGCCAGAACTGAAATATATTCCTGCTACCCAACCTGACTATTCACTTTTCTGCAAATACCTAAAACCTGCAAAATCATAGAAAATATAGTATATTCTTTTGTAGTCTTTAATTCTTTCAATGTATACTATTTTACCGCAAAGCCGCAATCATTTGATTTATATACATTTTTCTAGTAGCAATTTTTAAAGCAGACTATCGTATAATCAACTGAAATTAAATTTTATCAGATTGTTTGATTACAGGCATGGAGAACCATGGAGAGAGTTTAGGACTAAAGTGCAAAAGCCATGTTTACAATTGCAGACAGTACGGAAATACATCAAACCTATCGAAGAAGTGACGGAATACTTTATACAAAGGTAAGCCAAGTTAAATAGTATATTTCGTAACAAGTGTGGAAAGTGGGATTTGCTTAGTTTACAAACATACCAAAACCCAAATGTGTTGTAAAGATTCCCGAACATTGCATAACCATTTCTCTAGAAATTTGCACGATATTTTTCACTACACTACTGAATAAAATGGCATCGGAATAATATAAACATTGTTATCAAATTAGGATATTTTTTTAAAAAACAAGGTGAAAAAATTTAAATTATTTGTGCAGGTTTTGTTGTTAAATATAGATTTCTTTAGAATGATTTATAAATATCTAACACATTTACTTCCAGGAGCAATACCAAGCCTAGACAGAATTTGGCATTTTACTATATTTTCCTTAATGAAGGATGTAATTGTCTCATAAACTCCTGTCTCCAAAGTTGTCTTCATGACAAAAGTTGATTTGGAATTGTGGACCATATAATATTATTCAAAGATTCGCATGGTTTTTGCGTTGCACCATTTAAGCACCGTCGTAAAATGTCTGGGTTGGAGAGGTCCTGAAATATTGGCTTTATTTTCTTCATTACAACTTCTGGAAGAAGGCTTACTATGGTCATAGGGCTCCTGTGTGATAATTGATTTTCGGTACTTACACCATGTCTCGGGTTCTTTTGGCAGAGATAATAGCGTCCGAAGCTAAAAGGTGAAAGTATTCTGCTCTTTTGACAGTTGTTATGTCTTCGAGGCTGGAACAGTTCTTCCTAATAGCCTGGTCACAGTAATACTGAATTTTTAAGGTTGATGCCTCTGTCAAACGGGTGCGACCACCAATAGACTTCCCATCCGATAATGCAGTTTTTTCCCATTTTTTTTTTCAATGTCATCAGCCTATTTCTCATCCTTTTCGTTATATGACCTATACATTCTTGTTTTTTAATTATGAAATCTTGACCAAAGGGCATTGCAGTTGCTACTGTGGGAAAGACGAGCTGTCGCCGTCTCCTAGGTAATACTTGTGTTGTAGGCCGCGAGTCTCCTCCGATTTCTAAAACATGTCTTCTAAACATTAGTCTTCTAATGGTATAACATCAACCTTTGTAAACATAGATCAGTCTTTCATAAATATTTAATACCCCAGACTTTTATGAATACGCCTAAGCTATTCTTGTCTAAAGATAAGTCTTCATAAAACTTTGAAAATTCACCAGACAAAATAGGCTAAGACACAGCTTAAGCCTTAATTTAGCAATTTAAAACTCCTCATTGTCTGCGCTGCTGAAAAACGCACCATCAATGTCAGAGTCAAAATATGCACATCTTTCACAAATGAATTTAAATTTCATCCTCTGAGTCAGAATCATCTGAATTCAGAATCCGTAAAAAAACCAAAAGTCCGTACAATGTTTGTTGGAAATGCATTTAGCTTGAAACCAGCACTTACAAGTCTCACATTCAATCCACTTACTTGCAATACCTGTTTGAACTCTGTTCCAGCTGGTTTTACATTTTTTTGCATTTCCAGTCTTCTTTTAAAATGTAGCCTGCTTTTAAAAACAGGCGCTCACAAGGTACTGATGTTGCCAAACAGCAACGTTTATCCCTAACAACTTGGCTCAAATGAGGGTAGCTGTAATTGTTCTGTCTCCACCATTCCAATGGATTTTTTCTGGTCAAGGGGTAGCTCTTCCAGATAACGCCGGTTTTCAACGTGCCCTTTGGAAACTGGATTCACTTTTGGTGTAGTGGCGAGCTTGTGATCCACCCAAGCCCATGGAGAAAGGTCATCATCTTCTTTAGATTTTTGTTTGCTTTGCAGCTCAGTCTGGTTTTCTTGCTCCTAACCGGGTGCAATTAGGTTTACAACCATTCCTCTAACATTTTCAGTCACAGTTATATTGTTAAACGATGTTTTAAAACGAGGGTCTAGGAACGTAGAAACAATCAATGTGTTATTTTGTTCTACATTGCCTAATCTAGTCAATGTCCCTATAAGTTTAGTTTCAGTTGGAGTTCCAGGAGGACGGGTCTGAGGTCCTCCCGGTAGTGCTACGCCCAGTTAGCCCCAGGAACTCTTTGATCTCCCTGTCCAGTTCCATATCCTGGACGTCCAAGTCGCTGTCCAGCTCCGGTCGACGTTGATCAAAAGACATCTCTATATACCTAATACTGAGCTATGCAGAAGAGGTTCTTCATTTAAACTTTATTTTACTGTAAATCATTTACCGATGGTTATCATTTCATTAGACTCTCTGGCGAATGCAAAGTTCACCGCCAATATAACATCACCCTTATAGTTGCCACAACACTGATTTTGTCCAGGCACAGAGATGAAAAAAGATAGAAACACACATTTCGAAACCTGAAAACCTGAACAAAGAGTCAAAAGAGGGAATTGCAATGTGAAGATGACTTTGGGAAAAATGGTTTGACATTGGTAGCACTACATGTACTTTGCTTTAGCAAGTTACACTTTTCTAGCAATCTCCTGCTAATCTGTTCCAAAGGTTTGTTGCTCCCTCCAATCATATTTCTTCCTTAAATGGAAACGCAGATATGTCGTTTAATGAAAGGTTTTGTAGGCCTGCAGTATATGTGAAGAAGTCTACATCATCCATTATGTGGATCAAAGCAATCAAACCATGACAATTGTGTGCGAGGAATTCCTTCTCATAAAGTCCTGTAACTAAATGAATAAAATAATTTTAAAAACTATTTTTTTAAATATTAGATTTTTTATATTTATAAAGAAGTATTTTAAAAACATGATACTAAAAATAAAATATGTTAAAAATATGTCATAAATATTATCTTTCTACTAGGCAATCTAAAGTATCTAAGTAAGTATCTAAATGCCAAAACCCCTGAGGTTAGGTTACATGTTGGCCTGACTTAAAGTAATGTGACAAACAATTCCAGGTCTCCAACAGAGTAGAGGGGATTTTTAGGGAGTAGTCTGTGTAAGATTCAGGAGTCTCACACTACAGGCTGGCTACCTGTGTGCGTAAAAGCATTTTCCCTCCACTCCCTTAAAAAAAGAGAGAACAAATCACTAGGGAATCTGCTGTACCAGCCGATGAGTGGCGGCTAACATAGTTGAACGAAGAATCCAACTTTAAGAAAACTCGCGTTCAATTATACTCCGCGCCAAAGCTGGTGGTGGCTGAGGGCCTCCACCCCAAAGTTGTTGTTTCCGGCTGGTTAGGATGAGCCGTGACTTGTACGCCAAGCGTCCCACCAATGTCACGCCTCAGTGTTTTTGTATAGTGCGAGTGCTGGCTTTGCGCCGGAACTCAGTCGGTTTGGGTCGGGCAGCAATCCTGCAACCCAGAGTCAATGTCCGCCTTCTGTCACATTTTCACCAGAAGGCCGGCGATTGTCAATTTATAAAGACTTGGGTATCTTCGATGAATATCAGTGTTAATCTTTCAATGTCACTGTTAATTTTGTTCATCCGTTCTTCGTTGACTCTAGTCATGGTTTAAGTGTTTTGCCAGACATCAGATGAGTAAGTTGATTGATTATTATTTGATTTGTTTTAGGTTAGAAAGTTTCTGAATTAGTTTTGGCCTTCGGCCACATGTTGTGCAGACTTTGAGTGGGTTTTGGCTAGTGAAAAGCAAGTATTAAGCACCTTCTGTGCATTGGTATTACTTTTAATTACCAATTACTTGTTTTTCAAGGCGCTAGACCCATTTCTGAGCCTGGAATTGTTCAGAGTTTCAATGGGCCTTTGGCCAAGCTTTGTGTGGTCAGACCACAAGCTTTTCTGGTTAGTTTTGTAGTTTTCTTTGTTGTCAAGTTTTCAAAGCTTTCCCCGAGACTCTAGGCCAGATATTACCCAAGAAAACTCACTTTGAAACTCACTTTTGTGCAGGCTAGGGTCCGTTTGTTCTGTGTCCCTGTTAATTTATTATTAGGCCTAAGGCCTAGTTTGTGCTCAATTTTGTTTTGTTATTGTGGCCTACAACTTGTTTAATGTAAATTTTGTCCCTTTGTCCCCTGTAAAAGTGTTTTTTTGTTATTTGTATTGTAGGCCATGTCACTCAGCCTAATTTTTTTTTAGTTAAGTAATGGCGCCTCCTGGGGGCCAAGCTCGGTCATAATTAGTTAGTTTTAGTGTTCTTACATGTCCCCTGCAAGTTTGATTTAGTTTTATTGATAAATGACCGAGTTATAAGGTTTTTAGTTTAGCGCAATTCTGTATTCTGAGTGACCGTAGGTAACTGACCCCCTACCTGGCCTCAGGCTAGTTGGTAGGCATGGGTTTGTCTTTTAAAAGCTGCGGGCACTTGTGCCACAACTTTTAAAAGCTTTTTGAGCAAATTTGGTTGGTAATAACCGGAGTTATTACCGGTTTTACCCGAAAATGCACCTCCAGCCAAAGAATTTTTAATATTTTGTGTAAACTGTTTTTTGAAGTATTAATTGTAGTATTTATGTAACTGTTTTGTGTTTGATTAATGTGTTTTACCCTTCTGGACCAGATAATTTATATTTTTTATTGTCAACTTCAATTTTTATGAAAAATGTCTGTAAGAATGTGTTGTTAAAGTTTGTAAAATCTAGAAAGTCTAGTTATTGTTATGTTTTAGAGCTTTATTGAACTGAATTAACTTATTTCTAGTCATTTTACTTTTTCTAATTTTAAAAACTGTTTTACAAAGGAAAGCCTAATTTAAAAGAAGAATATTTATTAATAAAATCACTCTTAATGGTTTGGACGCTGTCCGAGTGGTGCGGAAACTGTTTTTTGGAGTTTTTTGCTTAAAAACTAGGTAGGCCTAAGGTTACACTCCAGTTATATGAACTCCTACTAGTTAGACCTGGAAACTGTTTAAAGGGTCCCGGATGGGAGGTTTTGTTCCGCCACTTCCGGAGAGGGTCGCCCGGGGAGACCTTACACCTTCTCCCTCTTCGGGCTGCCAGTCACCCTGCTCCTGGGACCAGTGGGACACACTACACCTTCAAGCCACCATCCGCCTTCTACCACCACCGCCACCCACCACTAGTTGAAGCGACCAGAGTGACCAGTGACCATTACCGCAAGTTATATTTGTAATTAATGAAAGTTTTTTGAAAAGGACTGATCATCAATGGGGCCCCCAAATTATTTACCATTGTTATTTATTTTTAGTCACTTGTTATTCATTTAATTGTTGATTTTTTAAAGGTTTAATATTAATTGTTACCGTCTTTAATCTATTCGTTGTTAGGCCTATTTTTCTGTTACTGGTACCAGTATTTGTAAGTTTAGAAGGGTAAACCTAAAATCATTTTTTTTAATTAAATTTTTGAGAAAGCTTATTTAAAGAAATTCTTTGGATGGATGTTTTGTTATTTGTTGATTTTTTTTGTAAATATATAGGCTTTGTTGACAACTGTTTGTTTTTTGATATTCACCCACGGCCTTTCATTTTTGTTAGGGATGTGGGGCGGCCACTCGCACTGTCACTATGGGGGGCATGCTTCCAATAGTTGTTCGTCTGGGGGCGGTGCGAGTGGTCGGCTCAGATGGTAGCAGAGCGTGGTTTTTTGTGCTCATTCCACGAAAGGCCGTGGTTGGATTTGATTTTTGGGTGATTCTGGTCTGGCAGTCTTAGGAATTTTTTGAAGAAATGTTGTCGTGTTGGGGTAAGCACACTGTTGTAGTTTTTATTAGGAGCTCGCCCTTGGCCGAGTCACCGGGTGGAATCTGGTTAATGACTTGCATCCTTTGGGAGCAAGAGTGTCAAAAGCATGGCCAAACCCAAAATTGAAACTGTGTGTGTGTTTACCTCATCACACAAATGTTAGGTGTTGTCGTTTAGTGTATGTATGTTGTGTGTATGTCGTGAGTGTAAGGTCCGTGTTTTTGATTTGGTGGCTAAGGCGGTGTGTATGGGCAGGTTCTTCTGTTTGGGACCTCATCTGACTGTAGGCATTTCAGTCCAGAGCCTTTAGTTAGTTAAGTTTGTGAATTGTTCGTTGTTAAAAAAAAAAAAATTTTTTTGTGTGTGTTTTGAAGGTAGGCCGACTGACTGTGAGCAAAATGGGTTTGTTTGCTCCACTGCCCAATCCCATTGCTGGGGTTTTGAGCGACATTCGCCCGGTTGATGGTTTAGAGGTGGAACCTTTGTTAGAGTTTTTGGGAAAGGTGTTGCACCTGAAGGAGTTCCCAGGCATGGAGGACTCAGTAGTGTTGGAACTGCTGGTTCCACTCTGCCTGAGACCTCTTGGTGACAAATTGTTAGACTGTTTGAAACGGGGAGTAAATTTTGACAATTTTCACAGTGAAGTGCTTGAGCTCTTTGTCCCCTTCAGGGTCATGGAGAGATTGAAGGTTGAGAGAGTGTTTCGACCTCAAAAATTGGATGAAACTCTCAGTCAGTATGTGGGTGACATTTGTGGCGTGTGGCGTGTCCTACGGCTGGACATCCCTGAATCCCAACTGGTGGACATTGTCTTGCAGGGGTTGAAGCCTGAGGAGCGGTCCAGACTGATTTTTGCTCCGAAGCCTTCTTCTTTTGCAGACCTGGATAGGTTGGTCATCCTTTCACGGAGCGTTCAAGACGCTGATTGTCAAAGGGAGCACGTTGCGGGGCATCTTCCCCGGACTGGTCCCCATCCCGCTGTAGCATCCGTGTGTCGAGGTCCTGAAACACCGCAGAGACAGAGGCGTCCTATTGTTTGCTTTGGCTGTGGTCAACCAGGTCACATGAGACGAGTGTGTCGTCAGAGGGTTAATCTTGCGACTTTGTCCAAAAACCTGAGTAGCTCACAAGGGGAAAGTTTGCCTAAACCGCCCTGTGAGAAAGCTGTTTTGGAGAAAGTCAGC